CCCCAAAACCCCAAAACCCCAAAACCCCAAAACCCCGAAAGGTTTAAACTTTTAAATAATATTTAATGAATGATCAAGCTGTAGGGAGTGATCTGACTAATGTCAGCAAAATAGAAGTTCCTGCCGTAAATATAGTAGATGGAATTCCTCAGCCCCCGCCTTTATCAATGGATAAGAACATGATTGGCGCTATAAAGATCAAAGACGCTCTCTTTATTGGAGATGAGCTCGCTGCCCAGGATCTTGAATTTGTTGTTAATAATAAAGTTACCCATGTCATAAACTGTTCTGGTCGACAAATTGCAAACCACTGGGAACCTATAGGGGTAGCCTACCTTACATTTTATTGGCTTGACGTTGACAACCAAGTCCTGTTTGATAAAGAGGGCCGAATTACACATGAAATCTTCAGCTTTATTGAAGAAGCCCATGAAAATGGAGAAAGTGTCCTTGTTCACTCAAATAGAGGACAAAGCAGAGCATCTGCAGTCCTTGCTGTATTTTTCATGCAGAAGTATAAATGGACCCTCTTTAAGACTCTTGAGTTTCTCAACTCTAGAAGGCCAGATTTAGAAATCAGAGCTGCATTTATCAACCAGCTGTCGGACTTTGAGCGAAGGATGACTTCACAAGGCAACGGCCCTGAGAGTGGAGATTGGAATGAAATATCAGATAAAATTAATATCCATCAGGCTAATTATGTTGAAAATGAGGAACTCTTACTAAGAAATACCTTTCTTAATGCCCAAATGGGGCCTATTGCTCCATATAATAAAGAAGAGCATAAAAAAGAAAAGAAAAATAAGCTACAATGGATTGATAATAGTAAAAATGGAAATTTAAGAACAAATGCCTCAGAGGATGATCTGATATTTAAAGACCAACCAGAGCCAATTAAAACTCACAGAACTGAATGCTTCGATTTAAAGTCTATCATTAAAGCAGAATTTAGAGACCAGAACAAAGAAAACCTTAAGTTGGAATTCTACAAACCAGAAGAACTGATAGATGAGGAGATTCATGCTCTTGAAAAAGACATACAGCCTCTCAAAACTGAAGACTTTACAAGAAAGGCCAAAATTGAATTGGAAGAGGCTAAAAATAACGACCCAGTGGTTGGCAATGCAGTTTTAGGTAACACAATGCCTTTACCCAAGAAGAATAATTATTTCGAAGGTAAGGTCACAGAGGGATCAATCACAAAAGGACTCCTAGAAAAGAACAAAAAGAAGGTCAAATGCATTAGCAAGCATTCAATTAAGAAACCAGAATGCAAAACTCAGAACTTTGTCATGGAGCATAAAAAGAAAGTCAAGAAAGATCCAACTAAAAGAAAGCGCAGCGCCAAAGTGAGAGGGCCTAACTCGAGAATTGACAAAGGGTTTATTCCTCATTCTAAAGGATTACACAGGAAGTCATACTCCGAAGGAATCAGAGACTCGAGGAAGGATGCTAAGAAAGAGGCCAAGAAAGATGTGGTGATTAACTGCAAGAATTTAACCAATGTGAAGATCCAGAACTCCAATTGGTCAACTCAGAATACGCATCAGTACAATATTTTAGCAATCATTAAGGATAACAAGCTAAATAACACCCAAAACAACAAGAAGGCTAAACCGAAAGTGAATGAAAAAGGGTCAAAGAAGTACTCCCAAGGATATACTTTAAATAAGCTGACTAAGGAAGGTATCCTAAACCGTAAGTTTCTTCTCATGTTATATTCTGACCCTCTCTTTAGCAGCTAAGACAGATCATTATGTAAAAGTAATCAAGAATAAGAACAAACAGAAACAACAGAATGGGTCAAAGAAGAGGAAGGTTACATCCTATGAACAGAGATATTCAGTGAATCTAAAGAATAGCAAGCCAGCACTTCTATCAGACTCCCCAGGCCTCTATAACGGTAACTATGGAGAAAGAAACGCTAATTTAGTTCACCAACACGCCTTATCGGTAAACATTGGAGGAGGGTCCTATAATAGAAGCAAGAGAGATAAGGATAATCTCATGAGTAAAAGTGCTGGCTTGGAGAGTTTCAATGGCTCACATAAATTTGGCTCCTTAAAATCCACTTCTAAGGGTGAAAAGATTGGGAAGATAAAGAAATCAGGGCCTATAAAAGCGACTATTGTCACTTCCAAGCCAAGAATGTCTAAATATGAGCATCTGGGTAAAACATATAAAGAAATTCCTATGGATAAGGTAACAAAGAAGCCTAAGAGGAGAGAAAAGAGACCACATAGCTCAACATTTATTGGAAGCTATAAGCATGACAAGGAGCTATATAATAAAATCATGGGAATTCAGAATAAAACTAAACCAAAAGCACCTTGTGTAGCTTCTTTAGGGTTGAAAAAGAAGAATACAAAAAGAGTAAGGTCCGCTTCTCCTGGAGGTCTAAAGAATATCACTCTTCATAAACCTCCAAAATCCAAAGAACCTCAAAGAATCATCGGTGGAAACCTCTACACCACCTCCAAAAACCCCTTCTCAAAGTAGACTCAAATTTTTCAAAATGCTAAAATTCAATTCAAACAACTCAAAATGGGGTTTTGGGGTTTTGGGGTTTTGGGGTTTTGGGG